GTTTGGCTTCTGTTAAGAGGCTAGGGAACCGTGCACAGATTCCGTCAATGCTGTCTGCACTTATTGCTTTGCAGCCATCAAAAAACTCCTTCCTGCAACAGGAAGGAGAGAGGGTGTAATTAATAATTATAAACTATATCATTTACTGTGAGACAATATAGTAAAGTAGGGTTAAAAGCCATGGCTTTGAGGGCAGATGGCCTGATTTGAATCCCAACTCCTCCACTAATTAATCTTACTTCCTTATCTGTCAAAGGGTGATTATGTCACCTTCCTTCACAGGGTTTTGGTGAGGACTAAAATTAATAAATGCTTACTGCTTTAAAAGTGCTGGCATATTGTAGGTAGCTGGTAAGGTTCATTTATTCATTCATTCATCTTCCCAAAGCTAAATTCAGGTCTTCTGCTCCCTGCCCTGTTTCCCTCTCTGAAATAGTGATTAAGCTGCAGGTTTATTCTTCTCAGAGGAGGAGGCTTCCTGCTTCCCTTCTGATTCTCTGTGGGTTGCTTGTTTGGGGTACATTTTTGGTGACTGCCAAGGGAGACTTTTGGAGCCCAAGATTTTTGATGAACCTAAGTAACTCTGCCACCAGAAATCAAAGTTCTATTATTAAAAAACAAAAGTTGGTTTTTGTTTTTAACATCTTTACAACACTTTCAGCTTACAACATGGTCTCACATTGATCATCTTCTCAGAGATTGGCATATCCACTGAAGAAGTAAAGCATCTAAGGGCTCTACCCAGGGTAGGAGGCATGTACATACACTAGAAATGGTATGGTAGGTCTCCAAACCATTTCTTAATTCATTCATAACCCTGTGGTCTACAAATCAAACCTCCTGGGGATGGATGACCATGATAGTACTTACAACTACAGCTTCATAACGGGCCAGCTGTCCCTGAGGCACATAGGCTTGGCTGAGGGAAGGCAATAAATATGCTAAGAACTAGAAAGGGCAACTGGTGTCCTGGAGGGAGCAAGGCATATCCCCAGAGGAACTAACTGTATTGGCACGCACAGTGCCTGGCACATAGTAGGTATACAATAAATACTGAGTGAGTGAGTGAACTGACAGGGAAAGGAGTGAAAGAAAAGTCCAAGACAGCAGGGGGGCTGAGCAGCAACAGGGCTCATCCTGGATTACTTTTCATTTAAGGCAACAATGATCAGTGCCCAGTTATTCAAAAGCTGCCTAAGAATACTAGAATATGCCTGAAAATTGACCTACAAATTAGGCAGTTTTTGTTTTTGTTTTTTTTCTTTTAGACAGAGTAACACATGGCTAGAGTGCCATGGTGTCCTAGCCCACAACACCCCCAAATTCCTGGGATCAAGTGATCCTCTTGCCTCAGCCTTCCAAGTAGCTAGGATGCAGGAGCCTGACATAATGACTGGCTATTTGTAGAGACGGGGTCTTGCTCTTGCTCAGGCTGGTCTCCAACTTCTGAGCTCAAGCAGTCTACCTGCCTCAGCCTCCCAGATTGCTAGGAGTACAGGCATGAACCATTGTACTTGGCCTTACGCACAGGCTTTATTGTGTAAAAAGAAATGTAGGGTATACATTAGAACCAAATATGGGTTCGGCACCTGTGGCTCAAGTGGCTAAAGCTCCAGCCACATACACCTAAGGTGGCAGGTTTGAATCCAGCCCGGGCCCGCCAAACAACGACGGCTGCAACCAAAAAATAGTTGGGAGTTGTGGCGGTCCCAGCTACTTGGGAGGCAGAGGCAGGAGACTCGCTTGAGCCCAGGAGTTGGAGGTTGCTGTGAACTGTGATGCCATAGCACTCTATCCAGGGGGATAGCTTGAGGCTCTGTCTCAAAAAAAAAAAAAAACAAAAAACCAAATATGAAGCTTTATCAAAAAGCAAATGCCTGAGCCTTATCCTCTGAGATTCCTATTCAGTAGGGCTGCTGTCAAGACAGGTTTATATATTTTAAACTCTTAAGGGTATCTAGGGGTACTTCTCTGGAGCAGAACCACAACTTTGCTCAGAACACGTAAGCTTTGGAAAAACTGGTCAGAAAAACTTACCCAACCCTATGAAGCCAACCCAGGTTCTATCTTAGCTGGGCACCACTAGCCAGTAGTATTCTTTCTTCCTCTGCTCACCTGTGACATAAAGCGTTTGTGACTAACCTGGTGAATTTGCACATGGTTGCAGCCTGGAACTTCCAAGCCAAGAGCAGCACTCTAAATTCTGTGGGGTCGACACACAAGTCATTGCAAAAGCGCTCCATGCCTTCCTCCAAAATTGCATCCTCCCGCTCATCCTTGTAGCGCCTAAACAGTTCTTCCAATCTCTGTAAGGAGGACTCCTCAGCATTGGACTTGGACTCCCTCCCAGCATCTCCCGAGGATGTTGGCAGCTGGCAGGCTTCAGTGGTAGCCTCCGCCTTCTTGGTCCCATTGATGAGGATATCCCCACCTGGCTTGCCACAGGGTGGCACCTGCTCCTCACGGTGGCTTGCACCTCGCCTGCTGTGTGACTTGCTGCTGGGGTCACGGTCTCCATTCTTGCTGCCCAGCGTCGATGAGGGATTCTTGCACTTGGTGACACACTGGCCCATGTTGCTGGTAGCCCGGCCTCTAGAGTGGCCCCCTCTGGATCGGATGCCCTCGCTGCCACTGGCCCATGTACCTCAACATGCCATCAGTCAGAGGAGCCAGCCAACCTGGAAGGAATAGAAAACAGTCACTTCTGGATAAGGGGACCAGGGTATGGATACAACCCTCCAGGGACTGTGCACTGATACACTGCTCTATTTCAATGGGCCAATAACCAATCATGGGTCATAACCGAGTTCATCATCTCCCTCATAAGCCAGCTCTGTAATTTCACCTTGGAAATGCAGTGGCTAGGGCACATATGGAGAACCAATAAGGGAAATTCCTGAAATTCTTAAGGTAACATAGGTTACAAAGAGGCTGATTCATGTGTAGAATGCATCAAAGACTACAGTTTTGACAGAAATATTCCAGAGGAAATCTGTCTTGCCAACTTGCCATCACATATGAAAGTTATTTAGACCTGGGTTAAGCCAGAAAGCAAAAATAAAAGTTTCATCTAATCTACTTCCTAATGCCAACATTCTCATATTTTCTTTTTAAGTAGGAAGAAGGGATAGCTATACCCAAGACAAATATACAGTCTCATAATGGCCTAATAAGATAAAGGATTTACAGTATCAAGACTAATAGCAAGGGCCTAGCCAAGCAGCAAAGTGAATTTGTCTCTGATCTCTAGAGCAGGGGTCCTCAAACAGGGGGCCAGTTCACTGTCCCTCAGACCAGTGGAGGGCCAGACTGTGGGTCCTGGGACGAGTCAGCTGCTAAGCAGGACAGGCAGTGGCAGCAAAAACACCTGGTGGGCCGGATAAACGTCCTAGGTGGGCTGCATGTGGCCCGCAGGCCATAGTTTGAGGACGCCTGCTCTAGAGAGCCCTTTCTGGGCCTATCCCACAACAGAAGGTGAATGCCCTTCCTCTAAGCCTGTGCTCCAAACCAAGTTTCCTCATCAAGGAGTTTCTTCTCCCTCCCTCAGATCCTCATCAAGGCCACACTCAGAATGCAAGCCCAGTTCACACTAAACATGGTTGTCCTATATGCTCAGTTTTTGAAAGGAGTGTGTTTCCACTTTAAAAAAAAAGTGCTGATTTGCCCAGATACAATCTCTAAATGATAGAATTATTGCTAGATGAAAAATAAAAGTATGCACTGATAACATAACAAATTCATCATAGTGCTCAATTAATGTAATTTAAAAGTTTTAGTTTTTTGGCCAGGCGCAGTGGTTCACGCCTATAATCCTAGCATTCTGGGAGGCTGAGGCAAGTGGATCACATGTGAGCTTGTGAACTAAGCTTACAAGTTCAAGACCAGCCTGACTAGGCAGATACCCCATCTGTAAAAATAGCCAGGCATTGTGGCAGACGCTTGTAGTCCCAGCTACTTGGGAGGTTAAGGCAAGAGAATTGCTTGAGCCCAAGAGTCTGAGGTGGCTGTGGGCTATGACACCATGGACTCTACCAGGAGTGAGAAAGTGAGACTCTAACAAACTGCCAGACATTTCTGAGCCAGAGGTGAAGTGATTTCTCTAAGGATGCTCTATCTATTCAGGACTCTTATTGTTAACCTTCAACTAGTTTGCTAGAAAATCCATTTACAATTTATTATAATACTTGTAAAATTTTGCCTACTGCTATTATAATGGCAGCCACTGAAATGACATTGTTCATAGAAATGTAGACCAAGAGCCAGAAGTACATATAGCAAGGAAAGCAGCCACCAAAGTCAATGTCAGCCCCACATGGGCCTCCCCACTGGTCTAGAAGCTTTCATGGGCCTTCCTGATCCAAACTCTTCAAGGCTGGCAATGGGGTAAAAAGGGAGATTTTAATGAAAGGCTGGCACTTTAAACTATGCCTAAAAAAACCAGCCTCCTCCTGATAGTACCTGGATAAACTGGGGGGGGGGGGGCTTATCTTCAAGAGGAATTCCCTCTAATGGTAAGCTCTGAGTATATAACAGAGCAGAGTATATAACAGCAGAATCATTCCTGCAGTTTATTGGAGACAAATCATATCAGGACCTGTTCTATTCTCCACCCTCAAAGAGTAAGTGACAAAGAGACATGTCCATACATGCCCTCAAAAGACTTGCAATTTCACTTAGCTTCAAAAATAAAGTGAAACCCTTACAAGATCTTTTGGTGGAAAGACCAAATGAAAAGTGACAGTCCCGGGCAGCGCCTGTGGCTCAGTGAGTAGGGCACAGGCCCCATGTACCAAGGGTGGAGGGTTCAAACCTGACCCCGGCCAAAGCACAACAAAAAAATCACCAGGCGCTGTGGCAAGTGCCTGTAGTCCCAGCTACTTGGGAGGCTGAGGCAAGAGAATCTCCTAACCCCAAGAGGTAGAGGTTGCTGTGAGCTGTGATGTCACAGCAATCTACCAAGTGAGACTCTGTCTCTAAAAAAAAAAAAAGAGAGAAAGAAAAAAAATGACAGTCCCAGGTAAGATTTCTAAAGTATTTTTATGCTTTAAAACTGGTTAGCCATAAATACAACTTATTAAAATTTCAAAAGACAAGGGGGTTAATTTTCCAAAGACCATCATACAAGGGAAGCAACTGTTTGAGCTGGATTATTTCAAAACAAGAAGGACCATACCATGTGGAGGGTCTGGTTTCCAGATTTGTGTTTCTGAAGACTAGAATGCTGAAAGAAACAAAAGGCCTAACTTACGCAAACCCCACATGCTCACAGACTGGCAACTCTAATTCCCAGGCACACTGACTTACCAGGGTTTGCTGCTCAGCTCCTGCTGCTGAGGGAGGCATGGGGACCCCAGTGAGATAAGAGGATTTCCTGGCCTCCGTCTGACCCACCCACCCCAGGCCACTCACTCCGCCCCCACTATACAGATGCTTCATTACAGCAACTTCCTCCAAATCTTGGCACTGAAGCCTTCAGGTAGGCACAGAACAGATGGGGCTCCCAAAGAGGTCCTAATCCCATTTACCCATCCAGCCCTTCATTGTAAATAGCATCTATTCATAACCTGACACAGCAGAATGAGCTGAAACCTAAAGGCATTTAACATGCCCAGCAGATGAGAAAAAAGAGAAAATCAATTTTAACAGATGATCAATCAGCAAGTACCAGAAGGTTGAATCCTTCCATTCTGGTTGGTCCCTTTCTTTGAAATGCGCCCCCCATTCAAAATGGGTGTTGAGACAAGAAGCCAGAAGAAAATATTTTCAGATCTGATGGTGAGTATGCACCCCTTCCCCATCACTCTGACTGCTGCCCAATGACCTGGCTTCTTCTGTGTCTACCCCTTTCCTTGGGAAAATACTTTTGTTCCCAGTGCTTTCTGCAGGCTTAAGCACAGTATACAATCGTGTGCCCAGGGTGGTCGCATTTCAAGTGTTTTAAAGCTGAAGGTCTCCCCTGGACTCACTACCTGTTAGCTAGGGGCCAATAATAGCAGTCATCAATTATCAAGCATTTGATACAATGCCAAGGCACTATGCTAAGCACTTTTAACTCACATATCCTCATCACAACCCTAATTAAAAACAGGGAAACTGAGGCTGTGTAAATTACCCAAGATCATTTAGTAGGCACAGCCTGGCTTGTCTGGTTCATGAAACCATGACCTTTACCAGTAGTCTAGTCTGGCTAGACTGCTGAGCCCACCTACACAGAAAACACACTATGTTTGGGCCCTGAGTTCAGGAGCAATACCACAGTAACCCCAGAGCAGCAAATCTCACCAACAGCCCCTGGAAAGAGAACACATGGTCTGTGCCCAGCACTCAAGAAGGAAGTGTCCTACCCACTGCCTTTTCCTAGGTCAGCTGCCACCATGACCCAGGCAGGTGGCTGGGGTCAGTCCCATCAGAGAGGTGTGTCCTAGAATTAGTCCAGATGCCCTCGGTCTGTGATGTCCACCAGCCTGATAAAAGCTCCAGCTCTAAAGCAAAACCCAACCCTGCAACTGGCTAATTATTTGATCCTAATGGGAACCTGAATTTCCTCAATCTGCAAAAGGCATTCCCCTGATAAAGTTGTTGTAAAGACTCAGTCAGGAAATGCCAGTATGATAAAAGGTACTTGGCACAAATTTGACTCTTTCCCCACCAAGAACACTTGATATGATAGCTCAGACTGTATCATTATTAGTAGTAGCTGAGTAGCATCTGGTTAGCCAATTGTAAGCCCCCATTTGTTCCACTGGGGGCTGCAGGCCTCAGCTTCCCCCACCCAGCCAAGGATATTCTTGCCTCCAGTCATTAGCAAGGGTCTTGTCCAAAAGCAGATTCTCACATCACAGCACTGACTATACACAAATACACCACTGCCCAGAAATACCTGGAGGGTCAGACTCTACAGCACAGGAGTTCTTTGTGATTGATCCTGAATAAAACCAAGCTTATGTATTATGCTAGACAGATACTCTGAATTCCTGGTCATGCCCTGTCCCTAACCTGGGGTAGGCTTTTGGACAGTTCTAAACTCTTTCATTCAGCCCCACTTGGTCTCAGCTCTGCAGGTGTACAAAAACATAGGATTTCTAGCTTTCACTTAGTTAACTAACTGAACAGAACTGCCTTCCCACTTGGTCTTCTTCCCTATCACTGCCACCTTGGAAGTATGTATCTTTAGCACAATTTGGATACCCCAGAGCCCAATTTTCAATAGTAATAGAGCATTGTTACTAACAATAATAACAGCATTATTATTAATGAATATCACTTTATATTTGTTAGTACATTATAATAGCTATATGTAAACACAGGTCTGTGGAGTAATTGCCTCCATTTTACAGGAAAATAAATGGAGACACACCAAAGCCAAGGAACCTTATTAGGAAGGGGAAAAACAGAAGCACGGTAATGAAGAGAATGATGAACTCAGACAAACCTGGATTTGCATCACAGTGATGGCTAACTGTAATTAACTGTAACTGTCAGCATGAAACCTTAAAAATGCGGCATCTGAAAAAAAAAAATGGAGCAGCTGTTCCTTAAAGAATTGTTGGGTCGAATAAATGAGATAATCACGTAAAGTGTTCAGTTCAATACCTGACTCACAGGAAGCCTTTAGTAAGCTTTAGCTTAGGGGTGGGGAAACTACGGCCTTATCACCACATGTGGTGGCCTTCTCCAGGTCCTAGAGTGCAGCCCTTTGACTGAATCCAAATTTTACAGAACAAATCCTTTTATTTTTAC